CAAAGTTTGCAGAGTATTTAGTTCATCCAATAGATCTGAAAGAGCTAGATGTCCGGTAATGTGCCGCATCCTGGTGGGCCCACTGCAACAAACATAGACAAACCAGGAGGCATACGACAAAACACCTATCTAGAATGTTCACCATCACAAACACAAGAAAAACAACAAGTAATCAAGGTAGGCCCTGTCACATTAAGCAGTACAAAATCAACAATTTTACTCCCCAGGCACAGCTAGTTCATGTAGCTCTCTGACCAGGGTACAGAAGCCTCAAGGTCCATTGACAAACAAATAACCCTACCCTCATTGTGAAACTATCAGTAAAAGACAGTGAACATAATAGCTAACAAACCGTTAACTTGAATCCTAAAGATTGGGTAAGAGGGTTGAGGCAAAATAAAGCTCCTCACTTTAAATGACTTGGATGGACTATAGATAACTGACTCATTAGTCTAACATAACTGTGACGGACTGCCTGGTACCCCGACTGGGTACCTCCGGCAGAAAAGAGTTTCCTCTCCGCTGGAACCTGAATTCCAGTGTCCTCAACCCAAGCCTGTCTAATTATTGGACAAAACCAATATATTAGGACAGAACGCTAACCTCCTCAATCATCAGACAACACCAATGTTGAGGTGGAACCCAAGATCTGCTTTATTGAAGGATGCACACAGAGTTTATACCTCACAGGATCAGATTAGAGTTCAGTGTGTCCCCTCCCCCAGACAGCCGGGTGCCGCATTGAAAGTCTTTTAAGCACAGACACTCTTTGAACTTAATGAATGTCCCTAATTAGATCATCCCAAACAATGGCCCCTCCAGACAGCCTGCTGCCTATAATGAACACAGTGATGTGTGTCTAATGTCGGGGGAAACATGTAGTATACCCACTCCACACATATCCTAGTAGAATGGTTCCATGTAACCGCAAGAGGTCTGAGGGGGTCTCCATAGTTCTGGGTCCATAGTCCGTAGGAAGGAGGCTAGCCCCCAGGCTCCTCCAGCAGCCCCAGTGACGGTTCAGTTAAAAACATCCAAAGAAGCCAACCATAACATCAATGTCCCAGAAAGGTAGAAAGTTCTAAGGGTAACAACATGCACAACATCCATAGCGGTAAGTATACCAGCCTTCAGATGATGATAAAGAGACAGAACACTCCAAAATATGTAATCTGGGCAGCTATGGTTCACTCCCCCTCTGGCCATGAACCATACAACGGGTAGTCTTGTAGCTTGTTCTGGTGTGCTGATGACGCAAAGGCCGCCATGGAGGACTAACCCCATCTCCCGACGAATCCAGACAGTTAAGAATCAGAATGGCAGTTTTATCCTAGAAGAATAGGTTTGACAGCTGGTCATGGCGGTGGAGGGCAAGGCCTCCTCTTCTTTCCTAACAAGCACATACAAAGGATGACCTCATCTATAGGAGACACCCTGATGGCAGATCAATTTAAGCAGGGGTTTTAATAACCTCTTCATTTGTAAAGTGAGCTGAAAGAGGTCAGGGAGCTGATGAATCATAACCCCAAAGTTTAGAGGCCCCATTCTTAAAGCTCTTCTCATGATCTCCTCCTTAATCAACTGATACTCTGTGTTCTCTGCAGAGCATGTCTCTGGGGAGATCCAATCTAACCAAGAGCATGCCAGAAGTACGATGGATGCAGTCCAGTTACAGTGCTACTTCAGGTTACCTAGCGTCGTAATTAGGATAGAAGTGGCCACCGATTTCGGGTCCATTAGTCACTCCATTGCCCCTTGTATTATACTGGCAGCACCTATTCTTACGGTCCTCAGCTCTCAACTGCAGATGGGTCAAGCATTGCTGATGGATCGATGGACAACTCCAGTGCTGAAAGTCTAGTGTCCCGTGTAGCGGATGTCACCTCCAGTGCCACCACTCAGGACTCTGTGGAGGGCACTTGCTGTTTCACACCTGGTTGAACGCAAATGCAGGAACTCCCAGAGATCTTGCAGGAGCAGAGTCTGTGAAAAATCAGGGTGTTTGAGGACACTAGAATCCTGTGACAGGGAGAATGAGACTGGGGCCATGAGATTATTCGAAGGAAAAGAGGAGACAAACCTACGACCAAGACAGCACAGCACTATCTTTAAAGTTGTCAGAGGGACGGTCTGTTGGCTCCCTGAGCAGGGCTGCAGACGCCTGTACCATCTTGGGGCCAGAGGCATCTCCATGTCAGCAGCCATCAGGACCAAGAAGTGTTCAATATTTGCAGCCTGGGAGGTATGGGTTAGCCTCCGTGATTTCTTATAGGGCTATTCACAAAAAGGGCAAAGAGGTTGGAGAAGGCAGAAGTGAACAATTTAGCCCAAACCAGCTGATAATGGAAAAATTCTCCAATTCAGCTCACTTTCCAGTCCAGCTATGTTGTCTTAGATTGCTGCCTTCTCAAAGCTTTTGTGAATAGCCATGTTAGTCATGGACTTGTGAGGCAAAGCTGATTCAGGGATCGTAGGAACAGTAGATA